GTTTACAGGGATCAGAAACTTCTGAGTGATAAAAACGTCTGACTAATACTACATTTACAACCTCCTACCCCTTTCAACCCTCAACCGATCGACGCGAAGTGATCTCCAACATTCTAGTATCGCTTTGTGGTTTTCTCGCAGTGGTAATTGAACTATATATAACTCGGCGGCCGGGAGATGGGGCAGAGAGTACGGATTACGGTGGAGTAGCAGAGCGAGAAGTATAGTGCAGTCAATGGTGACATAAGAATTAGTCAGACATAAATAGTGGGGCATATAAATGTTTCATCGTCGTTACATAACATAAATGAATAAAGAGTACTTTCCGTCATTCTTTTTTTGCTGCTGCTAGTTTACCGCACGTTAGCTTTGTTATTTTAAATGTAGTTATTTCTGAAAGCAATAGTCCCAGCTTCCTGGATACCATATATTTACCGTGTGGTATTCTAATAAATGCTACAACTATCAGAATTTTTTACGACGTTTTTTCCTTTTTGTAGTTCATCGAATATCCGCATGATTTTTTATTCCGTGATCATCAAATGTCGATTTACAATCAAATGTCCCATTACGCATTCGTAAATATCACAAATCGACGCAATGTCAAATATGAAATAGTTCTCCAGTTAAGCTGACTAGGGATAAGGGGTAGGAAGACAGCGTTAACTGCGTTATCACTTTATTGCCAACATAGAGGCCTCCTTGCTGATTTACAACTTGTAGCGAACAATTCGGGAAATAAAAATATCGTTGATAAATAAAAAAGTTCGTACGTCTGTAGGGCTGAATGAATAGATACGTGCTCCTTCTGTCGAAGCTCATGCCCATCTCCCCGCTCATCTCATCAAATGCCATCTTCAAGAGATTTTTTTAATTTGCTGTCCGTGTAATACCTCATTCTTTCCTAAAGCAATAACGTAGATATCGATTTGATATGAGCCTCTTAAACATCCTATTGATACTCCGCGAGTGCTCTCAAAACGTCACCGTCGTCCTGGACGTTTCTTTCCTTCAGAGCTGCATATAGTCGTATGTCTGTTTTTATCGTGCAACAGTCGTCTGGTTGAACACAGTTCATAACTAAACAAGCTCGGTTTTTGAATCGAACAGCGACGGTGTCAAGCAGTGTTTACAAACATGTAACAGGGCAGTACTTGAAAATATGAATAGCGAGTATTTTTCTTCAATTTCTTACTGACCTTTTCGCTGCTATTTTGCCGTACATTAGCTTTGTTATTTCAAACGTAGTTATTCCTTAAAATGAAAATCCCAACTTTCAGGATATCCTGTATGAGTATATTCTTATGAATGAGATCATTATCGGTATTTTATACGATATTTTTTCATAGTTCATCGAATGATATCTGCATGACTTTTTATTACGTGATCATCAAATGTCGATTTACAATCAAATGTCACATTACAGCATTCATAGTTATCATAATTCGACATATTGAAATTGGTACGATCCAGAGATTTTTTCAATTTGCCCCCAGAAGCGATAAGCTCAGGCTGTTTCCCAAAAGTGCGGTTGTCTAAGTATTCCTTTCTTGCAAATGTACACCTGAACTTAGCGGCAGTATGTTTCATCATATGGCTAACTAAATACCACTTATATGTAGTTTTATATTCACAATGTGTACATTTATGTATCTTACGAGATACAGAAGTAGTAAACTCAGGATGTGTCCGCAAAATGTGATCGTCTAATGATAGTGTAGTTGTGAATGACGCATTACACTTTGTACACTTGAGCTTAGCTCCAGTATGTTTCATCATGGCTAACTAAATACCTCTTATATATAGTTTTATATTCACAATGGGTACATCTATGTATCTTACTAGATACAGAAGTAGTAAACTCAGGATGTTTCCGCAAAATGTGCTCGTCTAATGATAGTGTAGTTGTAAATGACGCATTACACTTTGTACACTTGTGCTTAGCTTCAGTATGTTTCATCATATGGCTAACTAAATACCACTTATATGTAGTTTTATATTCACAATGTGTACATTTATGTATCTTACGAGATACAGAAGTAGTAAATTCAGGATGTTTCCGCAAAATGTGATCGTCTAATGCTAGTGTAGTTGTAAATGACGCATTACACTTTGTACACTCGAGCTTAGCTCCAGTATGTTTCATCGTATGGCTAACTAAATACCCCTTATTTGTAGTTTTATATTCACAATGTGTACATTTATGTAATTTACGAGATACAGAAGTTAAACTCAGGATGTTTCCGCCAAATGTGATTGTCTAATGGTCGTATGGTTGTAAATGACGCATCACACTTTGTACACTTGAGCTTAGATCCAGTATGTTTCATCATATGACTAGCTAAGCAGTGTGGAAATGTAGTTTTATATTCACAATGTGTACATTTATGTATTTTACAGGACACGGATGACTCAAATTTAGGATGTTTCTGTAAGACGTGGTTTTCTAAGCATCGTTTAGTACTGAATGAAGCATCACAGTTATTACATTTGAAAGTCGTTTGAGTATCATGTCTTGCCAGGTGCCTTATAAAACTTCTCCTAGCTATTTGTTTATGTGGACAATGCATACATTCATATCTTACTAGAAACTGTCCCGCTAAAGTTGGGATGTCTCTTTAAATATGGCCAAAAAGCGATCGTTCTGTTTTAAATGATGTATTACAATGTCTGCATATGCGTAGTTTAGTAGTATGCTTTAGCACATGCCTGGTTATATCCCCTTTATAAGCGGTTTTAAAATCACAGAATGCGCATTCATGTATTTTAGATGAAACTGACGCCATAGATCCTACATGCCTTTTAACCAAAATGATTATCTAGTGATGTTTTGCTTTTGAACACCTTATTACATTTGATTGCAACGATTACAGATACTGTTTTCTGGATACAGATCGTGATTTTCCCAAATTAGATCGTAAATAGCAATTGTTTCCTTTTGATATGACCGATCAAACCCTTTTTACAATGGCTCGCTATAGTTACAAATATAGCAGATGAACGACTGTTTTCCTTCTTCGATCGGTGGATTTCGTTGTTCCTTTTTCCCGCTTTATCTTTATTTTGGACGCTGAAAAAAAAAAGTTTCATTATAATTCACGTTTTTTTAATTGATAAAGAGAATCGATTCAGTTAGTATAGCGAGACAGTGCCTGAAGTTTGCATTAAACGCTAATTCTATAAATAATATTAGTTTAAAACAGGTTTTTGAAGGAATACAGGGTGTTTTCAAAGTTGAGCTATTTATTTTAAGAGCTTGTAGAAACTCGTCAAAAGAAGTTGATGTACCAAAAATCCCCTATATAAAAGTTGCGTAATAGAGTTATACTAAAATTCAGCCCAAGTGAGACCACAACATCGCAAACTCGAAGCGTGATCAGCGCGTGATCGATGTTCCGCAGAGGGTCTCATTATAGTTCAGGCATTTTACGGTTTGAAGTTGTAGTTGAAGCGCTCGCTTTTTCAACTAATAGTTTCATTTCGTAGCTTTTATTTTCTTTTTTTAAACTTTCCGCTCCTCATATTGATGCTTTTGTTAAATACAATATCCTGAAGTGTCTCCAATATAAAACTCCATGAATTTGGAAAACAAGCAGCCTCGAACATTTTTTAAGACCTAGTTAGACGTAGCAATACAAAACCCGCCGTTGCGCCGCGTGCATCGCTGTTATAAGTTCTGTTATATCTGGTGTTTTTGACCATGTCTTCTACCGACACAGCTGATGAAGGGAGAGCTACCATTGAGTCCACCCAGGAAACGATCAAGAGCATCGAAGTGAAAGAAATTATTTTAATGTTTTACAAATGTGAAACGGAGGAAAAACCTGAGCTCGGCGTCAAAGATGTTGTGCAGAGGGTGGCGAATAAATTTGGAGTTTCTCGTGCATCGGGTATTTAGAGTACTCAAAGAATATAAATTACGGAATGCATTTGCTGAACCTAAAACGAATCAGAACCGTAAAAGCCAAATTAAAGAAATAGATGATGCTGACAGACATGCGATCAGAAGGAAGGTTCATGAATTCTTTTTCCAGAATGAAATTCCTACAATGATAAGATTTTGAAAGTAGTGAATGAAACTCAGATTTGCCGATTTAGTAAAACGACGTTCTACAGGCTATTAAAGGAACTCAACTTCAATTGGCAGAAGAGAGGCCGAAACAGTTCATTGATGGATAGAGATGAAATTATACTATGAGGAGAGAGTATTTGACAAAAATAAAAGCATACAGGAGCCAAAACAGTAGAATTTACTTCCTGGACGAGACGTGGATAAATGCTGGCCCATACAAATCAAAAGTTTAGGTGGACCAAACAGTAACGTCAGCAAGAAGAGCGTTTTTAGATGGGCTTTCAACTGGGGCTTAAAAACCCTACACGTAATGCAGACATTCCATTTTAGAAAATCCAACAATAGTTATTAGATAATTTTTCATAGCCAAAGTGATTTAAATGAGGCATTACACGTTATCAGATATCTAGAAAAAACGAGGGGATGTTCACTCGGGAAATCAATGTATTCTACGTTGGAATTCTTATGGTATCGATGACAAGATTTTTTACAGCAATGCGAGCGTTGCAGAGACAACATACCTCGTCCGTCACGGAATGTAACACGTTAATTAACAACGTCAGACATTGCGTTGATTTGTAAATTTTTCGATAAGTTTGTCACACTTAATTTTTTTAGTTTAATTGATGTTGCCTGTTTCTTTTTGTTTTTTAAGCTTTTAACCAGATTCATCAACAGATTAATGATGCATTGGTTGAAGTGTCCGATATATCTCACCGCATGCATCCCGCTATCATGAGAAACAATATAGCATCGTATATAAAATACAGAAATGTGTCCCTATCTCCGTGGCCTCAGTACTCTTGTGAAAGACATATAATATACATCCGTATTTAACAAGTTTTATCTTTATAGGCAAAGGAAAAAGGCTCATTATTTGCCACATCGGGAGTGTAGATGGCTTCGTGAAGGAAGGACTATGGTGTTTTGAATAAAAAAAAATCACTGACTACCACGAGGAGATGAATGGTGAAGCATTCGAAAACTGGTTTTAGGCATTTTACCACGTCTTAAAGACCAATTCTGTGGTGGTCCTGGATAATGCTCCGTATCACTCTCGGAAATTAGAAAAAATTCCAAATTCATCTTTTAACACATTGGCTGCCATGTGAAACACCGGTGATACACAGGCGCGTTTTGCTGGGAGGCCACGTGACTCACATGTGTTTCACATGCAGTATACTTCAAAATTAGATATATATCCGCTTGGCCTGTGAATTAAGTTTAACTACTTATACTGTGGCATACTGATAATATAAACAACTCATTGAGATACATAACATCACTGGTCGCCTACCTTTGTAGCGTAAATTTACGACTGCACTTTTACTATATTCAGGTTGGTTCTTGTACAGATTTTGCGGTTTATGGGTTATGTTAATGTTGTGAGAACCCTGCAACTAAGAGGGGTGTTTTAGAAATATAAATTTTAGTAAATCGTGTGTGTGTGTTTAAAAGTGGTGTTATAAATATGAGTGATGAACCTTCTACAAGTTCTGGACGACCCAAACGATCTTGTACTGGCAATAGCCCAAATAAAAAGCACATTTTAACACAAAAGGAACTGCAGGAAATCGCAGATAATTGGACGACTGGGAAGATTTTTCATCTTCAGGATCAGGTTATGTAGTAAAAATACATGTTTGTTGTTGAAATTTTATCTGGGGATGGTTCTTTTACAGGCGTATACATTAACACCTTTTTCATTTATTTATTTATAGAGTATCTGAATTCGGAATCTGATGATGGTAGCAATAGCGCAGGCAGTAGTCTTCCAAGCAGTCATAGTTTAGATTGCGATTTAGATGAAGTAGACACTGAAGAGAGCCACAATGTAAATACTCTACTACAAGATAATGAGGATTGGCATGATGTTGATGGGACATCCTTGCGTTCTGACATTATTTTTTCTGGTGCAGAGCAATACATGTATCATCACGGCATTTACCCTGGTATTAATATATTTTTTTGTCTATTTTTGTTTGGTAAAATATAAAATATTTTTTCAGATGATTCTAATGATCTACGTCCAACTGATGTTTATGAACGTTTTATTGATGACGAGATTCTTGAAATTATCGTTTCAGAAACAAATAGAAACGGCACACAGCTTTTACAAAAGCCAAATATAAGGCGTTCAGCTAGAATAAGACGATGGGTCCCTACAAATAAAAAAGAAATTAAAAAGTTTTTAGGCATAGTCATGTATATGGGCATAGTCAAATATCCTAAAATTCCGGACTATTGGCGAAAAAATAGGCTGTACAATAATACGTTTGTTCCATCAGTGATGAGCAGAAATCATTTCCAACTTCTGCTAAGAGTACTTCATTTTGCGAATAATGATGCCGTAGATAAAGACAACCGACTTTATAAAGTGGAAGATATTATCAAAAAATTTCAGACCAAATGTTCCAACGAGGCAATTCCAGGGGAAACATTAGCTGTAGATGAGACTATGGTGCCCTTTCGTGGACGCCTAATTTTCCGGCAGTATATACCTAGTAAACGTCATCGATATGGTATAAAACTATTCAAATTGTGCGATCCAAAAGGCTATACCTACCGATTGTCAGTCTACACCGGCAAAAAATTCGAAGATACAGGTAAAGGAAAAGGACTGGCAGAAAAAGTTGTAATGGACCTTGTTCATGACTACTGGGAGAGGAAGAGGACACTAATAACAGACAATTATTATACTTCATTACCTTTAGCGAAATCATTGTTGGCATCCAAGACTCATCTTCTAGGCACACTTAGAAAAAATCGAAAAGGTCTCTCTAAAGAAGTTATGAGTGCACAGCTAAAAAGGGGGAAATTGTGGGGAAGGAAAACACTACAGGACTCGTTATAGGTAAATGGAAAGACAAAAGGGTGTGTTCCGTTCTTGAGTACTAAGCACACGCTGGATATAAAGGCTACTGGGAAGAAAAACAGAAAGGGCGAGGAGGTAAAGAAACCTTCTGCCATATTAGAATACAACGCTGGTAAAGATGGTATAGATGTTTCTGATCAAATGGCGAGCTACTTTTCCCCACTCCGCAAAACAATTAGATGGTATCATAAGCTAATGTTTGAAATTCTCCTGAATACGGCTGTCATCAATTCTCTTAATATTTACAAGCACTTCAAAAAACAAAACATACAAGTTGGTGCTTTTAGAGAGATGTTGATTGAGAGCCTTACCCAAGTCCCAAGTGTCCCAGTAAATGAAGATAAACATAGTCTGATCAGTACAGAAGAAAGAACAGCAGACGGGAGAAAGAAAGAAAAGAGAGATGCATTTCATGTTATGAGAAAAAGGCCAGAGAAGGAGGTCGAGTTGTGGGAATGAAACAAGCTAAATTGGTCTCTACCAAGTGCGGGCAATGCAATATTCATCTATGTTTTACTTGTTTCACTGAAAAACATTAGTTTTATTTCCTGTTTCTTCTGTGATCACCGGTGATACAGATGGCACTGGAGAAATACCGATTAACCTAGATGCCATGTGTATCACCGGTGATTTTAATTTTTTTGCAGAAAAAAACATTTTTTTTGAGTTGTTTATATGTTTTTTATGTCAATAAAGTTTTCGTAACCATGCTTTTGTGATAATTAGGTTTGGCCTCTAATAAATGAAAATGACCCCTTATGGGGGCAGCCAAAGTGTTAAGAAATCAGAGATACAGGACTGGCTACGTGCAAAAAATATACCTTTTGATACGTTTATGTTGAAATTACAACTTCTAGATCTTGTGAAACAACACAGAGCAAAATATGATAAATATATAGTGGACGAGATGGCAAAAGCGCACAATAAAATGGTACTTCGTTTGCCTCCTTACCACTGTGAGCTCAACCATTCAAAAATAAAATCTTGGTGTCCACGAATTAAATCACAAGCATTTTCAAAGTGCACTGTTGAAGTTCTTCCAGAGTATTACTGCTCCATCATGATACACCAACTCTTTCAAATAGCCCCACAGAAAAAAATTGCAAGGCGTTAAATCCGGGGAGTGAGCAGGCCGAAAAATGGGCCGATTGCGCCCTATCCATCTATTCGGAAACTCATTATTTAGATGTTCATGAGCATCTCGTCTAAAATGTCGTGAGGCGAAATCATGTAGGAACCACATAATATTCTCTCATATATAAAAGAACACTTAAGAATTGTGGCAAATTGTGTGGAAGAAGATCTAAACAAATTTCTAAAAGCCACTGGCACTCTTCCAGGCTGATCTTCAGGTTGTAACGCTTTTACCCGCTGATAGTGATAAGGATAACACTGTTCTTGTCCTAATGCCTTCCACACTTTGCTATGAGAAATTTCAACTTAAGCTGCTATGGCTCTAGGACTCATTGTTGGGTCGTCTTCGATAATTTCTAAAAGGTCTTTCTCAATTCGTAACATTTCAGGTTGAGCTGGTTTCCCAGCGTGACCTCCTCGTTTTTCTTTTAAATATCCTGTGTCACGAAGTCTAATAACTGAATTTACAAACATCAGTGGGGCGGGATGATTCTTAAAGGATACCTTTCCGCATACGACCTGCATACTGCGGCTGCATTTTGTTGGTACTTATTTTTTCGAACAAAATAAGCAGACAAATAAAAGTATATGTACTATTAAAAGACTGATACAACAGATCGAACCAAAGACTCGTACTCGTACAGATAGTTTTCATGATTGTCGTTTTATATTCACATGGAATCAGGCAACCACAAAAAAGTTTTCAAGAGCAACTTGCCAGAGAGCTGCCCAAAAACTTGAATTTAAAACTTACAAGGTAGGGTTACATTATTTTTTTATTATTGTTTTTAATACAGTATTTCTTGGCAAAAGAGAAGCCCTTATTGATAAAGATTCAGAAGAAAAACAGACTAGCGTGGGCCTAAGAATACAAATTATGGTCTCCAAACCGATGGAACTCCATTTTTTAGATGTAGTGACTAAGCCAGAAATTTGCATTTTGTGGAAGGTATTATGAATACTGAAAAGTGCATTAATGTGCTTCAAATAAGTTAATACCTCAAATTGGACAAATGCGTTCAAACAATATTGAATGTATCCAAACAAGATGGTACCGCTTATCATACGGCTAAAAAAGTAAAAGATTGGATGTTAGAAAAAACAATATTTTATTATTAAAATAGACGTCGAGTAGACCAGATGTATCGGCAATTGAAACCTTGTGGCATATCATGATGAAAAGGCTCTGATCCCGCAAGAACCGTTCTAGAATTGCGAACCCGTCTCCAACACATTTGGAACAGTTTTACCCCAGTTAACTGCCAAACATTAGTGGACACTGTCAAGACGTATCGAAGCAGTAATTAGTCCAAAAGGCGCTGTAACGCAAGTGATGATTTGCCTCCTATTTGGTTTTGTTGATTTTTATTAATCGGCAGTATTTTTAATTTGTAAGATATTGTTCTTTGTTAAAAAATATAGTATTTTAGGCTAACATTAAATAAAAATATCGTATGTTATCAGAAATACATTTTAGTTTTAATACGTATGTATATATATATATATATAATAATAATAATAATTTTTATTGGAATGTTTATACATAAAAATATAAAAACGACAACATTCCAAAAGGAAAGAGGATTGGCAGGGCCATTTTTCACCTCCCCCTAAAAAGTTAACTTCATGAGCGTTTTTTAACATCAACAGAATGATTAGTATTCACAAAAATATTATGCACAACACAGTATAATACGATATAGTCTGAGTGTTAATGGAGGGTAGTGTAGCAAGCGCCATAAATTTAATTTGTGGATTCAAATCTTTGCAGCTGTAGTAGCACTTTTTCCATCTCATTTCTGAAGTTTTGGATGGAAGGTGCTTCAAAAAGTTCTAAATGATCGTTTAGTAGATATGGTGCCGTGTAAGTAAAACATTTTTTGAATTTAGATGTTGTATGAACTGGAATATTGAAGTATTCATTGTTGCGTAAGGAAACTTTACGGAGTGAACATCTCTTCTCCAAAGCAATAAACAGATATCTGGGTAATTTATATTTTAAAACTTTATATAGTAGAGTTCCATACTGAAGTAATACACGATACTTGAATTTTAAAAGATTTTCTCTCACATAATATCCAGTAATATGTTCTTGTATATGTATATCTTTGAAACAGAATCTCATGCAGCAGTTTTGTAATACTTGAATTTTGTGCTTCATTTCTTCCGTCAAAAATTATAATATACTGTAGCGCCATAGTCTAGGTGAGTGAGGATTAGTGCATTGGTAAGCCTTAATTTTATATCGCTGGTTAAAACATGTTTGTATCTCCAAAGTGACTTGTATTTACAATAGCATACTCGAAGTTTATTAATGACATGGTTCTCAAAACTTAAATTTGTGTCCAACAAAATGCCTAAATTCTTAGTCTCCTCTACAATTTCAACAGATGTATCACCTAAAACAATGGCTGTACTCATCAATCCTTTAAATTTTGAAATATTTAACCTAGAACCAATGCAGCAAGCTTTAGTTTTTGTGGGATTCAGTTTCAAACAATAATTTTGGAATAGTTTGCAATCATTTCTAGATTTACATTTAACTCTTTAATCAATAAATTAACTTCATTTGGCTTGCAAGCTTTATACATTTGTACATCATCAGCATATAGATGTATATTCCAATCATGTGATATAAAATTTAATAAATCAGATGTATAGAATGTAAATAGTAATGGACCTAATACACTTCCTTGCGGAACACCAGAAACTACATTTTGTAAAGTGGAAATTTTGTTAAATATCTTTGTGCATTGGGATCTGCCAGTCAGGTAGTTGTTGAACCACAGTAAGGCATTACTGGACAAACCATAATATTGTAGCTTTTTACATAATACTTCATGGTTGACCATGTCAAATGCCTTACTGTAATCAACATCACCAATACGGTCACCATACCATCATCCATGAACTTGACTATATCGCTAGTTACTTTTATAAGCGCTGTGGATGTGTTATGTAGTTTTCTGAATCCCGACTGTGTATCGGGAAGGACTTCATTTACTTCTAGATGGTCACGAAGTTGGTCAGCTACCACTTTCTCTGCAAGCTTGGACATCACAGGTAAGGTGCTTACTGGTCTCAAATCCTTCATCTGTATAGCGTTATTGACTTTTGCTAGTGGCGTTACAACTGATTTCTTCCATAATGTTGGTACTTCTCCTGTGTTCAGGGATTGATTTATGATATTCGTTATTTCACTTTTGCAAAAAGAAAATACATTTTTCAGCATGCTTGTGGTAATACCATCTATACCAGCAGCATTTGATTTCACTTCTCTCAGTTTCTTTTCAATATCATCAGATGTAACTAGATGGAACGAACTTTTAGTTACGAGTGACTTTTTCTGCCCAGATAAAGCGTTAAGAAATAACTCATCAGGTTGAATGGTTGGCAACGAGTTCACAAAGTGATTGTTGATGGCTTCTGCGTCTTCAATGCCCTGAGATATCTGATTAGTGGATTTTTGATGAATATTCCATTTAGCGAAGTCTTTCCATAGTTGCTTGGGATTATTCCTGTTCTTATTTAGTTGATATTTTATATAAGCTGTTTTTTCATTCCTTAAAGCCACACCTGAGTAATTTCTAAGATCGTTATAAAACAATCGATCTGTTTCAGATCTAGTTCTTTTAAATTTATTGTAAGCTTTTCGTTTTAAATTTATTATACATTTTATTGATAGGTGACGTACGGCCTGTAGAACTTATGAGGTGTAATTCTTTTCATCGGAGCATGTATGTCATACAGCAAGGTAATGTTCTCAGTAAGATGGAGGACTTTATCATCAAGACTTTAGATTATTTATATCATGCCAGTTCACAGCAGTTGCATCCTAGCAAATTCATCATAATTAAAGTGGGAAAAGTCACGACAATAAAATGTTGTAGGAGTGTATTCTGGAATTTCAATCTTCAATTCACAGAAGCATAACCTGTGATCAGTTATATCCCATGCCTATAGTGCCACTCTTGCGCACATGCAATGTATTTGATACAAAAATTACATCAATCATTGTAGCTGAATTCTTGGTATTCTTGTGGGTTCATTAATAACCTGAACGAGATTGAATAATGCCATGGTTTGAAAAAATTTTTACTGGGATTGGAAGACTTATCGGTGAGGTCAATATTCACATCGCCCATCAGTATAACTTCATCATGGGTAATGAATATAGAAGCAAGGTTATTCTCAAGGCTAGAAGTAGACTTAATGCATAGATGGCGGTCTATAGATAACACCTATCGCAATGGTCTTATTATTAGTTTTAGCGATAACCACATTTGTTCAATGCCATTTGAAGAATGTTGTTACAATTTACGACTTTAAATTTTATGTTGGTCCTGGATGTAAAAACATACTCCACCTCCCTCTTTCTTCTCTGTCATTCTAATCAGCTGGTAATTTGGCAGGGTAATTAAATCCGAAGGAAAATCATGTGTAAGCCAAGTCTCTGTTAGTGCTATAATATGAAGGCTCTGCTCTAGTATAACGTCTGAAAACATATCAAAGCTAGGAATAAGTGATCGAATATTCACATGTGCTACGTTTAGCGTACTACAATTTTTTCGTGACGCCTTCACTGTGAGCAATGATTGGACTCTTCGATGAATTTTCTGACTTGTCCTTTGATTGCTATATAGAGTAATTTATGTTGCTTCTTGCTGTTTCAAGCTTCTTCCTCATTACTGTGCAATTTACTTTGTCAAAGCAGAATGATCAATCTTTAAATTTAACTTAAATTTTATTATTAAGCTCCAAGCAATTTGGGCAAGATATATTTGATTTCGTGCATATATCTGCTTTATGTCCTCTCTCACCGCATTTTAAACAGAACATCTGTCCCGGTACATTTATTAGCAGTGTGGTTGAAGCCGCTGCAATTGTAGCATCTTAACAAATTAATGTGTTCATATACTGAGCATATCGTTAAATTAATACATAATATTCCGTTTTCCATGATACTATGAAATGTTTTGG